ATATATATATATAGCATGGTTCATCATTAAGTTTGGGGGAGATGCTGGTTTTGCTTTTCAAGGACTAGAAGGAAAAAGACGGTAAAACCAACTTTACCCTCATAGAGATATCCCCTTTTCTAGGCTAGTAACAAGAATGGACATAGCTCCCCAGCACTGGGCCAGCTTCTTTATAAAAAATCATATGCCAAAGTTCTGGATGTTCAAGTTTCATCAGAGCCTGGAAAATATCCTGGCCAGTCACTGGCCAAGGGATGGAAAGAGTGTGGGCTTCGATCTTAGACAAGTCTATGTTCTAACCCCAGGTCTGCCATTTATAGCTGAATAGTTGGCCCTCTGGCTCTGTGGGTTTAGCATCTGAAAATTCAATCAACTGGAGAAGAAAAATATTTAGGGGGGAAAGTTGTCTCTATGCTGAACACATACAGATGTTTTTCTTGTCATTCTTCCCTAAAAAATGCAAGACAACTACTAATACAGCATTCACATTGTATTAGGTATCATACATGACTGAGAAATCACAAAATATACAGAAGAATGTAGGTCATATGCAAATACTATGCTATTTTGTACGAAGGACTTGAGCATCCAAGGATGTTGGCATCCTTGGTGGAGGGTGGAAGTTCCTGGAACCAGTCCTCTGGATACTAAGGGAAGCTTGTCTAAATCTGGGCAGGTTTCTTCACTTCCCCAAGCCTCGGCTTCCTCACTGGGTCTCGGTGACAATAATACTCATAGGATGATTGTTGAATTAGAAGAGATATGTCTATGTAGTACTTTGCTTGGTGTGCAGTAAATAATAGCAATTAATAGATGGTAACGGTCATTATTGCTGTTAATTCCATCTGTGAAGAGTCTAGTGGGGAAGATACAGTCTTTTTTGGAATTCCCCATTCTGTCCCCAACAGGAAGGATGTCGGATGTTTTCATTCTACTTGGCTTACACTCATTATGGCTACTAGCAAAATTGGCTTGGTCGTTTAGATGTTCAGTGCAAGTTCTTTACAGATTCAAGGGGTAAAATATGATGAAAGTCTCCTGAGCTGCAGTGCAGAGCTCCCAAACTGCCGGCAGTAACCTTTCCCATGATACAAATGCCATCAGGCTGGTCCAGTGCATTTAAAGTCACCTGCTTTCAATTATCCCCTAGCAGAGGTTGAAGCACTTCCCTTTTGGAAGACAAAAAGTAATCACAGTTATCATTCTAAATTGCCACCTTTTCTATCGATTTCACATTATCCTAGCACAAAGGAGCTCTGTGAGAACTTGGGTTAAGAATCATCATTCCCACCGTGAATTGTTATTTTCTCCTCTCATGGAAATACGACCTTATATGTTATTAGTGGAGAAGGAAACCTTAACAACAAAAAATGGCCTTTAATATTGTTCTGGTTGGACTGTTCATCTCTCTATTGTGTTACATCTCAGTCTATTTCTATTTTAGATGGTTTTGTTTTAAAATATATAATGCAGATATTTTTGCCTACTTGGTATAGCTTCCAACCCCCAATTATAGCAAGAGAACCACCTGAGTTCTCATATGTCCCACAGTGAATTTTTAAAAGATGGTTTTACAAAATTAATGTGTAATGGTTACGGGATACAGCATCTTCTTGCCCATCACTGTTTGGAAGACTTGTCCTGATAGTCTAAACTTTTCTCTCCGAACTCCAGACCTCATCAAGCTTTCCCAGAATCTGGTCCCAACCCAGAAGAGCAAGAACGGTAATGTTCTTGATAATTATCTTCAAACAGAAAGTTTCTCTGGCCGGGGATTTAGCTCAGCAGTTCGGTGGCCTGCCCTGCAAGTGCAAGGACCCAAGTTCAATCCCTGGTACCACAAAAAAAAAAAAAAAAAAAAAAAAAGAAAGTTTCTCTGGCCGGGGATTTAGCTCAGCAGTTCGGTGGCCTGCCCTGCAAGTGCAAGGACCCAAGTTCAATCCCTGGTACCACAAAAAAAAAAAAAAAAAAAGAAAAGAAAAAGAAAGTTTCTCTGGGACCTTGAGTTGGGACATTAAGTGCATGGTCTTAAAAGGTTGTAACAGAGTAGGAGCAGGAGCTGTGGTCTCAGAATCACCAGTGGGAAAGGGATATAACTAGTGAATGAAAGTATATAACTTCCTAATGAAGAGGAAGGAATGACTTGATAACAATAAAGACCATTTGTTGAGTAAGTTTCTCCAGTAGGTATTATCATACCTACCCAGCACGGTGATTAATGTCAGCTAACAAGTGTTGGGTGGTTACTAGGTGCCAGGACAAGGCTAAGCACTTAAAGGAATTATCATTTTGTCCTCTCCACTGCTCTCTGTCATCATCTCTGTATGGCAGAGGAGTGTGAGGCTCAGAGCTGCAGTCACTAAGGCCTTTCAGCTGGTGAGCATCATCCTACTTTGGGGTGGGGGAAAGACTCAGTTCAAGGACATGAGCATTCTACCAAGACTGGGATGAAAGAGCCAACATGATGGAAATCCGTGGTAATGAATGGAGATACAGCGACTGCTCCCAGAGGAAAGCAGCCTAAGAAGTGGATATAAACATGGTAAGATTAGGGTGTTTGCTAAGTCTCAGAGAGGAAATTCCCTCTTTCCTAAAGGTAGGTGCCAATGTAGTGTGCAATTAGTAAAACACTATAATCTTGGAAATTGTAATGTGAGGGTCATGGGAAAGCATTTAGGATGACAGATTTGAAGGGTGGGTGAGGATTTCTCTAACTTTTCCTGGGAAAAAGGGATGCTTAGATCCAGGCTGATGGGAATGTGGCCAGCAGTAACCTCAGAATTGTTCACATTCTTTGGCAATGCAGCGCGTTTTGGATGCACCCACCGAAGTTCTCTGATGGTGGAGGAATACTTGTATTCCTGAGCGGTAGTCATTGCCCCCAAGTCGAGTTTGCTTAAAAATTGTGTTAAGAAGGAACACAAGTGGCTAAGAAGCGCATGGAAAGGTGTGAAATATCACTAATGGTGAAGGAAATGCAAAATTACAAAATTACAAAACTACGATCTCACACGCCTTAGGGTGTCTACAGCAGAAGACCAGAAAATGGCATGGTGAGGACGTGGAAAAACTGGGACTCCCGGGCACTTCTGGTGGGAAATAATCAGGCAGCTCCTTAAAAATTACAAACAGAATTCCATGTGACCCAGAAATTCTACTCCTGGGCGTACTCACAGAAGAATGGAAAGCCAGGACTTGAAGAGGTATTTATACAGTAATGCCATCGGTGGAACCACACCAAGCACCCACTGGCAGATGAGTGGACAGACAACATGTACTGTATACATGCAATTCTTTGAGGGCTGCGGACATAGCTCAGTGGTAGAGCACCTGTCTAGCATGCATGAGGATGTGGGTTTGATCTCTACCACTACAAAAAAAAAAAAAGAAAAAAAGAAAAAAGAAAAAACAAGGAAAAAAGAAAGAACTTGGTCTTTGTATTCTACTCATATTTCAGGAAACAGGATGTAAAAAAAAGATGTCACCTCTCTCTCCCCTAGAACACCAATTTGCACCAAACTTTGGGTTCTTTTAATCAAGCAGGAGTGGTATGGGGACAGGAAGCTTAGGTGAGAGACAGAACCTTCATGGAGAAGGAGGCACGGCTCAAAGAGAAGGTGGGGAGACATCTCAGTGGCCTGGAAGGAGCGATGTGGAGAGAAAGGACAATAAGGAGACTGGCTCTGGTGTGCAGGCTGTGTACTTACACAGCACCACAGTAATTTATTAAGTCCCGGGATAGTGTGTACTCGTGGGTGGGAGTGCAAGGCCCACAGGTGTCCCAAATGAAGTAAATAATACAGGGGAGCGACGACATAATGAAACATGAGACAGTATGACATGCTGGTTAAAACTTCGTTTCTGGTGCCAGACTTCCTGGCCTTGGGTCCCAACTCTGTCTCTTCCTGGCTGGCCTTGAACAAGTTGTATATTCTCAGTTTCTCACCTGTAAACTAGAGATAACACTAGTACTTGTCTCAGGGCTTGTTGTAAGTACTCACTGAATAAGTGACGTACAAGTAACGCTTAGACCTCTAGCAGAATTGGTAAAGCACTCAGTAATGCTGACTTGTTGAGGAGTGACATATTACAATAACGATCTACAGACCTGTTCAGGAGTAAGCCCTGGGATAGAGCATGGGCTATCAGAAGGGCTGAATCCATATATGCAAGCTCAGTGCAGTACGGCCTATAATGTATACAACTATGCCTGTCATCTGAAAAAGACATAGGGTGGGTGCTACAGTGATGACTGAAGTACAAATTAATTAAAATTGTTATTTGAAATCATGGAAGCCATTTCTACTAAATGAACTAGCATTTACAGTGCACCCAGCATTCTTCTTGAATGAAGAGTGAGGTCAGCCCTTTTCAGGGAGGTCAGCAGGAAATAAAATTCATTCTAATGTATTATGGTTGAGCACACAAAGGGTTTCCTTTTTTTTTTTCTCTTCCTCTTGTGGTACTGTGGGTTGAACCCAAGGGTGCTCTAGCACTGAGCTACATCCCCACTCTTCTTTAGTACTGCCCAGGGCCTTCACACTAAGCTACATCCCGAGCTCTTTTGAAATGTTCTTATTTAGAGTCAGGGTCTCGCTAAGTTGCACAGGCAGGACTAGAACTTGCTACTCTGCCTCAGCCTCCCAACTGCTGGAATATACTGTTCCACGCCCGGCCAAAGAGCTTCTTGCAAGTTTTGCCCACAGAAATAAAAGGCTCTGTGTCATGGATGAAGGACAGCATGAGAGCAGCAAAGTTTGTCTCCACCTTCCAAGGTAGTTCATCATTAGAAGTCCCTGCTCCGAGTCCCTTCCTGGTCCCGCTGGCCAGGGCTGACCGATGATGACAGGCAGGAGGGAGATCGGACTTACCGGCCGGGGCAGACTGTACTGGTACATTTCTGGGCGGTAGGTCGGCACCCACTGCACGCCCGCCCTGGGCCGCGTCATGGTCCCAGGGGCGCTGGTCACCACCTCGGAGTAGGGGAGATGCTGAGTGGAGCCGTAGGCCTCCTGGTGGCGGCTCTGGCCAGCGTGGCCGGCAGATGCTAGGCTGAAGGCCTCCTCCAGAAGCATGTGCATCTGCTGCCTCACCTCATCGATGGATGGCTGCGAGCTCAGTGTGGAGGTCTCAGAGTGGCCTTTCACTGGCCGGGACCTGGCGTAGCCCCGGGGATCGTGAACTCGGTCCACGTTGGTTTCCTCTATGATTTCAGGCTCTGTCTGTGGGACCAAGCAAAAACCAAGGATTAATTTAATTAAGGGTTTTTTTTTCCCATGAGGAGGGCCTATAATTTATTCTAAAATAGTCACCAGATTGATTATATTATAAATCTGTGCTAATTTGAAGTTCTACCCTAGATGTCTAACCAGGAAGTCACACGACAGGGGCTATCAGCCAGCATCATATAAGAAAGGTCACACTCCAGCCACCTCTGTACACTTCAATCATCCACAGCTAGACGCAGACTTTGCTGATTAGCATAATAATGAGAAACAGGTTTCACGGATGGAATTAATGGTATTCTCTAAAATAAAAAAAATTTATTAGTATATTTTTATGAAACAATGAATATATTCATCGTAGGGTATTGGTACAAATACATATTCTATACTTTTATGCTTTTGAGTATGAAAATGTGGAGCAGCCTGTAGTTTACAGCCCGAGGGATGATACTTCAGTCTTTGGATCGACTCTTTGAATGTTTGCGCATGCTGCCATTGGTTAGTTACCTGATGCCATTTATCCGAGTGGAAAAAAAAAAGTGAAGCACGACCAATCAGAAGCTCTGGGTGGGGCCCCCGTGCTTTAAGAAGTGCTCTGGGAGATTCTGATGCCTGCTCCAGTTTGAGATTCGCTGATGTAGAGCACTCCCTTGCCTTTCCCCCACCGAACCTCTCATCGAGGGACAGAGGGACTGGCCGCAGTATCAGGTGGTCGGAGAGCTAGGGCTTCATCAGTGTCACAAGCAGGAGGCAAAGACTGCGGTTACTCTCGCCTGCTGATAAAGGTTTGTTTAGTGTCTGCTCTCTGTTTTGAGGTCTCCCTGCCACTGTTGGCTGGGACTCCTGTGGGTGTGACGGATGCACATACTCTTGTGTGACTGCTTTGTCTAAAGCACTTGGATATCTAAATGAGCAGAGTAAGAGAATGCCATTAGGGAACTCACTCGTATGGGGAAGTCCTTCCCTCAAATATTACATATGAAGGTCAAAACTATGATTATTTCATTTATTAAATATGTATTTACTTTTCTTTGGTTTTGAATTAGAGAACAAATTGAAAATACAGAAAACACAAACAAGAAATCAGACATTTCCTATAATCTTATCATCCAGGGTTAGCACTTGGCTGTAGCCCAAATGAAAAGTAAGGTTCTCTATCAACCTTCAAATCTAGATTTATCAGCATCTACAGTAATTTAAAATCCTATTTTTAAACTAACACAAGCAAGGATAGATTATGAAAGACAATGTGAAATTACCCTCCAGGTAACAAAAATCTCAAAGACAAGTCATGCCTGACAGGAAGTCCCCTCACCCTGAGCTGGGGTATGCATACAGTCTCTTTGGTTAGGGGTTCTTTAGGAAAAGGCTCATGATCACAGCCTGAGCAGTGTGCTCTGGGAAGGCCGGCAATCTGCCTGGCTATACCTCCTAGGATAGGGAAGGCAACTCTTTCAAGTTTCTCCACAATGCATAGAACATTCTGAATTGAATTCAGAGCCTGATGAACTTGAGGAGATGATTTAATTCAAGCCCTAGTTTTACAGATGAGGAAATCAAGGCCAGAGCAGTTAAACAACTTGCTTAAAGTCACCCAGAGAGGGGCAGTGACCGAGGCCAGAGCTCCTAGCTCCTGTGCCGAGCACGACCTGCTCTACTGTACTGCCTCATCAGTGCTGGATGGCTACCCACACATGGCCCTTACTGCTACATCCTCAATCTCACTAATGCATAATGGATGCTCAGTGCTAAACTGCTCCCAGGTGGGAGGTTAATGGCACAAAGGTGAGCTGAGTTACGATTTTCCCATCCCTGAGCTGTACCGAGCATTTCCAGCCATATTGGTAGATCTATTTTCATGTGAATTTATAGTTGTGCCTTAGGCAGGGCAAAAGTGTGCTGCATAGCAACATCTCCCTGCTTTCCCACTCCCCCAGGTCCCTGGAGTGGGGCTGTTCTGCTGGGAGGGCGCAGAGAAGCATTACTTTGTAGGGGAAATTGGAGACATTTTCTCCAGGCTCCCACTGCCACCCACCCATGACACCCCTGGTAGAAATTAACCTCTACATCTCCCCACAGGGCTTCCGTTCTGCATGGGGAGCTCCCTTTAACTGGAGGGTCCAGAGCCACAAATCAAAAATGACCTCAACAGGTTTGTTAAGCCATATTCTAAAGAACTCCTGTTTTCCCACAGTTCTCAGATATTTTCAGTCTCTTAAAAGCACGACCAGCTCTCATTATGCCCTGAGCTTCCTCTCATCCCACTGGATTTGCTTAATGTCTGCGCTGCCCCAAACTAGACCCTCCCTGAGTCCAACACACCTCTGTTTCTGTGAGCCTAGCATAAGGCGTTCAGCATTCAATACAACTTCGTGGGCTTGGGCTGAAATAAAACATTCTGTCCAGGGCTCCATGGGGTGAGTTTCAGGTTAAAAGGCCCATTTTCCTAAACATATCCCCTCCAATGCTAATGAGCTGCACAACCAGCCACAGGCAAATTGCACGAACTCCCTACGCCTCAGGCTTCTCCTAATGGGACAGTTGAGCTATCATCTAATATTCACTATTCCTCTAACTCTATCTGCCCTAGGAAGTGCCACACTTCTCCATTATCATCACCCCTGGAGAAACCTGATGCCTACTCATGAAACGAAGCATCAGCCTCCCTCCCTGCTTGCAACAAATGATTAATAAATTTGCTCTTTTACTTATCACACAATTATTGGGCTCAACTGTATGCTGGGTCCTAGGTTGATGTTAGGAATGTAACAATGAATAAAACTGCATCCTAGCTGGTAGGAGCTCTTATGGGAGGAGATAAATAGCAACAAAAATAATATCAGTTGGCCCATAACCTACACACCAGACACTGTTCTAAGAGCTTTGTACATACTCAGTTTTTAAATCTTTTTTGTTTTGTTTTTTGAGACAGGGTTGTGCTATGCAGTTCAGACTGGCCTTGAACTCACTTTGTAGCCCACTAGGCTGGCTTCGAACTTTTGGTGGTCCTTTTGCCTCAGCCTTCCACATCCTGGGATCACAGGTGTGTGCCACAATGCCCAGCTGTTCTTATCCTTACAATAACCTATGAGGCAATGTTATCAAGTATGATTAGTTCTATCTTACAGATGAAGAAACTGAGGCATTGAAAGATCAAATATGCTGCCTATAATTGGCAGAGTTGGCAGAAAATTTAATTCTAGCACCTAGGCATTTATCCACTGTACATAGGTAACAGATCCATTACCACACCACCGTCCTGGGCTCTGACTGAGGGATGAACAGATTTCTATGAGCAGGAAGTCAGAAGATAAGATGACTATTGAGACAGGCTGCCTCAGAGATGACGATAAGGCTGAATAGCATCAATATATAAATACACAGCATTCAGAAGTATATATGGCACACGAGCTTTTGATAAATGTTGGCTGCAATTGTTATTTGATTCCTGTCAAAGATTGGGAGCTCCTTTAAGGTAGGATCACTGTATTCACAGCCCCAGAGCAGGGCCCAGCCCAAAGCTGAAGCCACGGTAGCTCACACAGTAAATTCTCACATCCACTGAAGGTTCTATGATGGGCTGGCCTTGTGTGGGATTTTCTGCATGCCTTAGCTCACTCAGTCTCTCAGGGCCATTCAGCCCCCTGTACCCATTGTCAGAGAAGCAGCCGTGTGTTCTGGTTTAGCATGTCCTAGGTCCTTTTTTCTTCCCTTGCACATTTCTGAAAACACTTTTGCTTAGGAAAAAGAGCAAAACCTTCCAGAGCTGGCTGATTGTTGCCTTGGGTAGAATGTCTGAGGCCAGATCTGGGGTACAGGTTGTATTTTTAAGTTTCTTTAACTTGGAAGGTACCATACTTGCTTTTTCAACCTTACACTCTTGAAAAGAACTGGGGAATTTTTCAAAAGTTCTTTTTCAAATAAAGTAATCAAGATGTACTTCCAGAAAAAAAATCTAAAAAATTAATCAAGGAATGTCTGCTCATGGTAAAAAAATATTCACAAAACACAGATAAGCAAAATGAAGAAAATTAAAATCCACTCTAAACCAACCGCTAGGAATAACTACTATTAACACTTTGACCTTCATGAATATCCTTCACGATGTTTCCTCTGCATATGAAATAGGATGAATGTGGAGCATTGCCAGCACTCTGCCCTGCCCACACAGAGAATGAAGACAGTTTGGCTCCCATCCGTCAGCTTCTCCCATGCAAGAAGGGCCCACCCTTTGCCATGCAGAATCTCTGGCTTGTGTGAGGGAGAGCAGGAAACCGGATGGTGTATGAGTCAGCCTTTTAATGCTAAGATAAAATATCTGACATACATTCACAATTTAAAGGCGGAATGATTGATTTGGGCTCATGGTTTCAGAGATTTCAGTCCACAGAAGGCTGGCTCCAATGGTGGAAGGGCACAGAAAGGGAAAGCTCCTTATTTCATGGCAGCCAGAAAGCAGAGAGAGCCGAAGAAAGGGCCAGAGAGGGTGAGGCAGCTGGAGACAGGATATACTCTTCCAGGTCACACCCCTGGTGACCTACTTCCTCAGTCACAGCAGAATAGCCATGAACTTATTAATGGGTTGATCCACTGATGAGATAATTCTCCCCCATCTAATCACATTCACAAAGCCCTACATCTTAACACATGAGCCTTTTGGAAGAAGACAATTTTAATCCAAACCACAACAGATGGGAAACCTAAGTGAGACAGAGGTGTGGGCTGGAGGAGTTTTAGGGGCATTTTTCCAGAGAGTCACCTATGATATGAACAGGAAAGAAATTAGGGGGATTTAAAAAGTCTTACTGAGCATAATATGTTTGCCTTCACGTAAATAAAAAATATGAGTAAAGGAATAGAGATATTTAAAATTTTCTTTTGTCAGCATGGTTCTTTGACTTAGTTGACTTAGTCATACCAAGTGAGCATTTTGGGTTATGATTTAATAAACAGAGCACACACACATATATGTATGTCTGCAAGTGTTTATATACATT